TTAAGGTTTTTTTTGCAAATCCATCTGTAATAGAACAAAAAAAGTTGGTTCCAATTTTTTAAAATATAAATTTGGAATAACTCTAAAAGTGCCTGGATCTCCTCCAGAGTTACCCCAGAGTAAGGATCAGATATGCTCCCAGTGGCCATGTCCAGACTAATGTGGACATGTGGTATGTGGTGCCACAGAGCACATACAGGTGTTCCCTGTGCTACTGCTTTGTTGTGTGTGGGGTGGGAGTTTGACCCTAGGAGATCCAGGGTCAAAAAAACCCACATCAAAAAAAAAAAGAGGGGTGCTGCATGTGGCAGCAGCATACGCCACCCAAAACTGGTGCCTGGCTGGCTGGAGCCATGCTTAGGCTGATGGCCAGGCTTCCTGTTGCATGAGTGCTGTAGCTGCAGCTCCTGGAAGCCTTCAGGACAACAGATAAGGCTGCTGGGGCTGGTAGTTGCTGGCCCCAGCCTTCCCTACCCAAGCCGAGATAACTTGCCATGCACCAGGGTAACACACATTCCCACTCATCTGGACACGCACAGTGAGGTCAGCGGTGGAGCTCTCATGGACTTTATTGGAAGGAGATATAAGCCCCAGAATGTTTGCTCTCAGGAGAAGGTGAATTGGATTACTGCGAGTAAGATGAAGAGAACTTGGCCCTAAGTGAAAGCAGGATTTGGCACTGTTCTTTATGAGTATTTTTCAACATTTCAAAGGCTAATTTTAAAACAAATAGTTAACATGTAAAGCTGTGTATTCTACAAATCATGTATTCTAAAATGTACTTATATCCCAGTCTGCTGCTCATATAACATTACAGACTTCACTTTCATCTTTTTTTTTTTTTTTTTTTACAAGGAACCCCTAATGACAAATGCAGGCAGCTTAGTGATACCAACAGACCACAATCTTAGCATGTGAATTAGTCATCATACAATAAGTTCAGGGGTCAGGCTTAAAGAAACAGTGCAAAGTTGGCAAATGCTAGTTGGGTGAGGTGCTCTCCACTTCAAAGGGTCATTATACTTACTCCCCAGAATTCAGATCACAGAAACAGCTGGCATTGTCATTTGTGGCAGTAAGACTTTTTTTTTTGTAGCAAGATAAAGTTTCACTACTTTGTAAAACAACAATTTACTTTAGAATGACTTACCCTGTAAAACACAATAGGAAGCAGGAATCCACAGAGTACTACTTTGCTATTATCATGCAAGTAGACATGACCTGTGACAACCCACACTGAAGACAACTTAACCCCTTGCTCCTTGTCTGAAAATACTCCATGTAGTCCACTTGTCACTGACAGTCAAGGATCTCATTTTCCAAGAAACCTTTACATGCCGTTCTGCCTTTTTGTTTGAATATTTCTTCCTTTCACATTTCTAAGGTGCTGGGGATGTAGTTATAAACTTGGCCCCGATATTTACATTCAAACATCAAATTTCCCTTTTGATCTTGGAGCATCTCAGATTTGAGCTAAAGTTAAAGTTTCACATTTAGTTTACAGGTAGACAGGACCGGCTGGAATTCCTTGTGAATGCAAAACCAGAGCTTTGTCTAGGCTTAGATTCTGTCACCCTCACTTTACTCCACATGCTGTTCTGTTGGTTTTTCGACAGCATTAGTCAGTGCAAAGTGCTACTCTGGGTTAGCAGGGGTGTCTGAATCTGGCTTACAAGAGCTCTTTGATTCAGAAGAAATTTTAATCATGTGAGGAGACTTGTTGAAATAAAAGAGGCTGTCTATGTTAGTGCATTCCTGAATTGGGGCTTAGCAATGGGGCATAACATAATTTGAAAAGTTTTAAAATAATTAATTTAAATTTTATCATTTAAAACATAATAATTTCAGCCAGTGACTTATGCAGTTTCTTTCCTCAAATGCTAATCGTTCACGTGCCTAGCTGCACTGCAGATTAATGTCTTCAACATGTTGTCATTTCATCATTATAATTATTAATAGACTTCAGCTTACAGGGGATGGAGGCTTATCTGCCAAATGCCTCATTATCAAGTGACTGAGACCCAATAAGTACTTAGCAGCATTCCTTACCAAAAGAGGACATGATGATGGGCCTGATCCAACTTCCACTAAGGCCAATGGAAAACTTACTGGCTTTAATGGGAAAACAGCCAAGTCCTGAGTCACTTTCTGTCTTCAGGTATTTTTTTTTAAACCACTTCTTTTAATTCCTAAAGAGAGGAACAACATGAACAAAACATTAGCTTCTCTCATCTCACAATGTGTTCTGCAACTTCTGGAAGGAAACCTGGACACTGGGAAAAATGCAACGGAGAAAAAAGAGCCACAATTTAAACCATATGACAATGCCTATTTCTTCATTCTCTTTGTCATGCTGTTTTACTCGTTCCTGGCATTAACTGTCTTTTTTGGTTATGTTCGCTCCAAGAAAGCTATTTCAAAGAAAGATCCTTACCAGGAGTTCATTGAGGATAAGGAAAGGAGCAAGAAGTGGAACACAACCCGGCCAGTGGTGGTGAAATTTGACTTTGAAGAAGAAAGTGTTCTTTGAACTACTAAAACCAAAATACACTGAAAAATGCACTGGACAATCTCTCTTGCCTACATATCAGCAGAGGATCTGTACATTCATCTTTTTCAGCTTTATCCAGCACAATAAGCCAACTAATGCTTAGAAATAGGTAATGGAAAAGAAGTTTCACTTAAAAAAAAAAAAAAGAATGCATGTACTTGCAGGAATGGAACTTTTATAAGTACTGGATAGCCACTTTTACTTTAAGGAATAAAACTGAAATAAATATAGCCATTTTTGGAATCCTTAGCATTCCACTTTGGAAGAAAAGGAATGTGTATACTTCATACACCGAATATAATTTTTATATATGGAATGGAAAACCTGATTTGTGCATGTATAGCAAATGTACACCACCCTCTCGCACACATGGTTCCAAAGGAATGTTGTTGCTTATAGTTTGTGCTTTTGCTGGAAAATACAGTACCTCTCAATAACAGCAGCATGCCTTTTACTTAGACTAGCTAGTACTAATTAACGTGCAAATATAGTAAACATGTCTTGCCTTCCCCGCCTTCAAAGATTAATTTTACATACAATGGCAACAGTTTCAAAAGGACATTGCCAAATGTAATTAAAATGCATTTAAGAGTAAAACCAGTTATGTGTTCAAAGAATGCTCTGTCTCTTGCTTTTCCTTCTCTTAGATGTATTAATTATTTGGTAATATCCCATATATATATATATATGTAAAAAAGAAACTGCCTGCCTGGATATACAAACCATGTAATTTTACTTGTTATAAAGGATGACAAGCTTCATTTCAGAGTTGTGTGGCCTATTCCCCTATTTAATTAATTTTTGCTCCTCTTGTTTTTAATATTAAACTCATGAATATAATATGAGAAAACACTGATTTTTAAAAATAGTGTGACCATCAAATACATACTATATAATGTACATACAATGTTATAACTTCGTAATATAATAGCCAATAGATATAGAATTTTCCTGAGACTCTATTTGTTCATGGCCTTGTATTGGGTCATTATAATTTACAGGCATTTACTTCTAATAGAACCATATTAGTATGCATATTAAATTAATATTCTTATGAATCCTCTTACATATTTCAGGAACTATTAATGTATTAACTAATACAACTAATAGTGTACAGTTCTACTTATCGGTTCATGAGCACAATATGATTTTTCCCTCAGGATGCTGTATATAGTTAGGTTTATCTGGATATGCAATAAACTACAGCTGAGAAAATTATTGTCAATCAATAAAACATGAAGAAACTAGCTTTTTTTTTTGCTTAAGTGAGCTCAAATTGGTTAACTTCAAATATATTGGTTAACATTTAAGTTTCTGTATGCTGTTGTGTGTGTGGCTGTTTTCTTTTTCAACTTCATGGATTTTTGCATGAAACTTTTTTCCTCTGGTATTTAAGCTGTTTTAGTTGCATGGTGTTAGTTAAGTCACATTTAGTTTGCTCAATTATTGGATGTGCATTCAAGTGCTTCTGGTGTAAAAACTTACTTGCAAATGTACAAATAAATTCATTAACAGTCATGTTATACAAACATCTGTGTTAGTAAAACACAATTGTATGAATGAGTCCAAACTGCAAGCACAGGAAGATGCAAACACACCAATATGAAATTATTTAAAAGGGAAAGTAACTTTCACAGATGTGTGTGTTTTTATTATCTGCCCACCTCCAATATAAGTAGTTTGACTTACAGAATGAAGAGGAATATTGCAGATAAAACACACTGATATTTGTAAGACTTACGCGGACTCCAGTTTGTTTAGTTACAATTGTTTGGGATAAGGAAATGAAGATCAAAGTCATCACAGTTTTACTTGAAGCCAACTAGCTGGGCTTACCTGAAAAGAAACCTAAGGTTGGTTGGAGTATCCTAAGGACTGAGTAAATGAGGAGACTTGTTCTGTAGAAAACTGTGCCCTTGAAGACTGTTCTTTCTCTGTGTGTTTTAATGTTCTATGTCCTTGAGAGAAGTCGTCTCATATTTTTGTCTTGCTCTACATGTATTTAAAGTGTTGTTACAAAAGTGACTGGATAATGACTGGAAAATTAAAGATCACTTGGCAAAGTTAACTTAAAGCTCACCGCCATTTATTTTTGCAAGTGGTTTTAGCTTGATCTGATGGCTGCCTGATAATTGGGTTTGTCACATCTTATTTGACAGTCTTTGTAATGTGCTGCTATTGTGTAGCTCATTTGGACATGCTCATGACTTGTTCATAATAAGATTGCAGGCTCTTGAGGCAGGGAGTTTGCATTTCTGTATGTGCCAGCAAGAGAACTCTTTCCTTGCCATCTCCCTTTGCACATGTGACTTAAAAGGACATGTTGGCAATGTTGTTATTCTTCATTCTTATACTGTGTGTGTACCAAAATGAGCAAGTCCCAGCCCAAAAGAAACTATATTGCAAACAGACAGGTAAAGTGCAGTGTTGCTGAATTGACTCCAATAAAGTTATATTGGCCTAGGTACAGACAGCAAAAAGCCCATGGCTGAATCAATTCAGTCTTTGCAGGTTAGTCTAAGTTGCACAGCATCAGCAACTGGTGCCTCCCAAGTCTGGGGGCAGCACCAGACCACCGATTGGGGGGGTCCCCCAGCGGCTGATACCTGAGCCTGAAAGTGCACTTGCATCGGCACTTCCGGTTTCGCCACTGGCGTTTCCAAGGGATGCCCGGCCAATCTCAGGGGGTGCACATGCGCCCATGTGCACCCCCTATGTGTCGCCAATGCTGCACAGATTAAATCAGAACAAAAGTGAGCAGACATTTACCTTTGATTCAGGAAATGCAGCCACATACCTGCAGTGGCTCAGGCCAGAAGCCAGGGGGTGCTAGAGCATGGCTCTCTGTTCATTTCCTCTTCCTACTGTCCCAGAGGTCTCTGGGGTTTGCATTCCAGAATTACAGCAGCAGGACTCTGCAGGGTTGCTGATCACTTCATCTTTCTGTTTCCAGGTGCCTTTGGGATTTGTGGTCCACAGCTGCAGCCAACAGTAAATTTGAGTGGGGGAAGGGGTGTTTAACCCCCTTCCAAGACCCCAGCCAGGGTTTGCCTGGGGGGAGCAGTCCCTACCTGTAGACTGGCTGCATCCCCAGCCAGGCTTGTTCCCCTCAGCCCCCTTGTGAGTCAGCCTTTATTGTTCCAGGTAGGGAGCGGAGGAGTGGGGCCAGCTCTGCTCTGCTGGAGCAGGCAGCACACCGCAGCCCAGGGCTGGAAAGTATGCTGGGAGGCTGGGGACTGTAATTTAACTTGGACAGGAAGGGGTCTGGCACAGCTGTTTCATAAACCAGTTTAACCCAAATCAGTTAAGTCTGATACTGCATTCAACCAGGTTTATCTTAAACCAGTTTCAGCCACTTTGAAACTGGTTTATGTGTGCTGAACTTATGTTCTGTTACAGGTTTAAACCAGTTTCTGATCATTAAACTGGTGGATGTGTAACTTTTGTCCCTGGCCATTGTGTTCAATTTTCTCAGAGTGTATTTTGGATGGAAGAGCTTGGACTGTGCTCCCAGCGCTTTCCCACTGCACAAATTGTCCCAGCTCTCTCTTTTAGAGCCCTAAAATCAAAGCCAAGAAAAAAGGACAGAGGAAACTATATGCCTTCCTATCTCTTCTCTGGTGAAGGAGACCCATGAGTAGAGCTGGCCAAACAGCAAAAGAATGGTAACACCTGGTGTCTCCTCAGGAGTTGGTACCGTTTTCCTTCAAAAACAAACCTCCAAGCCCCACTTTAGTCACTGTCTTTTGTGGAGTTCTCCCCTGTGCAAGGTGCACTGCACAGCCTGGAACCTGGGGCTAAAATCCACAGTGGACCTTAGATGGTGAGATAGGAAGTTAATGCCATGAGGGTAGATTTCCTTATTTGTTTTCTCTGTACCTGACATTTCAGTACCAGTTAGCTCACTTCAGCTATTTCTGCTCCCAAAAGTTAGAGGCCGCATAGCACCTGCTATAAGTTCTGGAGCCCCTTTTACAGCTCCTTCTGACCCTTTGCCCAAGGAGTGTTTCTGGGGGAAATAGAGGCATTTGGCCAGTCCCCTATCTCCTAGTTATCTCTGGGTGTTATGATGCTCCTTAGGAAGCATGAGCTGTGAACTGTAGGTTATACCCAGTCTTTCTTCAGCCCCAGTACCAGGGAAGGGAAGAGGTCTGAAGTAGTACTGAATTAGGACTGAACACTACTTACAAGATGAGTGCTTTTAACTTCTAAGGATTTAATGCAACAACAGAGAAGGTAGGTAGTTTTAACTCATTTCTAATCGCATGCTCTCAGTTTACTGCTGTTCAATACATGTATATATGTATTTATTTATTTTCCATCAGTTTGTTATTCATTTATTGATCTTACCATTATACTATTTCTTATCCAGATCATTAATAAACCAGTTAAATAAGACTAAATCCATATCACAGATCCTGCTTTAGATACCTCTTCCCTCTGCTTTGCTGCTTAATATTAACCCTTCCTTACAGTCCTTCTGCCAGCTTTCAGTTCACATGCGAGTATTCCTGTTCAACTCAAGTTGAAGTAATTTTGAGAACTAGAGGAGACACTCTACCAAAGGCTTTATTAAAATACCAACCTTGCACCAATCTTGTAATTCTATCAAGTATGCATGTGTAGTAAGATCTATTTCTGATTAGCCCCTGCTACCAAAGGCACTGATCCAGATTAGCTAGTCATGTGTGCGTGTGTGTATGTGTGCGCATGTGTGCATGCACATGTGTACTGTTTTTAGCACACTGGTGATCCTCTCTACTCTCTGCCAGGAAATATTGAACAGTACCAATCCTGCTTTCAGATATGCTGGTGTATATCTGGAGTACCTCCATTTAGCCTTGAATTTTAGGAATTTTCTGTCTTGCAAGTGTCTTTATTTTTTTTGCAGTGAGCTTTACCTTAATCTGAGATCTTGCGCACACATGTGCACACACCTGTAATTCTGTAGTGTACAAATGAAAGGTTCTGTTTGCCAGTGGGAGTCGAGCATACAGAGGATGGAATGTTTCTCATGAAACATATGCATCTGTAGACTTTAAGGGTAGTGGTGTGGTAATTTCTCATGCTTGAAGAATTTCATGGTAATAACCATTGCTACATTCTAGATAAATTAAGTGTGCATGAGTTACTACAGTCCTGATGCTACACGCATTGTGTACCTTCCCTTTTCTGTGTAACTTGTATATCAGATGCTGCAACCTTTCTTAACCCTATCTTTACCTGTTACATACCTCTATGTACATGCAGTTTAAAAGAAGCTCCTTTCTTTATTCAGTGGAGCAACAGGACATATAATCTGCATTTAGAGATTCATTAAAATCTTAGTTCAGCCCAGAATACACACATGGTTCAGTCTCTTTCCTATTTATGGATTTGACTTCGGTGGGTCTTAGAGCATGTGCTTAAGATTAAACACATGCTTCAGTATTTTGCTGGACAGGGATGATTTTGTGATTTGAGGCTTCCATGACATGCAACATATAGTACTGATTTAAGGGACTCGGTTTCAAAAACCCTTTTTTATGGTTGGGTATGTAACAATTCTTTGCCACATAGGTAAGCTCAAGGACTTGAGAGAACCTTAAATATTTTAAAGAATAGCCATTTTTGTCCAGAAAGGACCTCCTTAGAACAGCCTATTGATATTTTGTCACCCTTTCATGACTCAAAAACTATTGATGAGATTTAGCTGCACTTTTTGAAAATCATCTACCTTTTGGATGGTGCTGAAAGAACCTGAGGCCAGCATAAGGTCTGCTTGGTCTTTATAGTGATTAGCTCTCCTAGTTTGACTGCAGCTTTTAGTTGTCTCTTGCCAGCGTAGTCATGGCATCGCACCCTTGACTGATATAGCCATAACTGACACAAGTTTGCAGTGTTGACCTGGCTTACTTATCCACTGCCTCACACCTCATTCTACTGTGCAAAATGAATGTTTCAGTTTGGGTTTGTTAACCTTTTACACCTATGGAGACGGCTGATTAGCAGCGGTGCAACAACATGGCTGGGCATTCAGGGTAGGTGCCACACAGGGGCAGTGGCAACTTCCAGTTGCTGCTGCTGCACTACTGGCACGATTGCATGGCTGTGGAGGCAGTATTTCCCTCCCCCCTGCCCCAAGTCAGTACCTGGGACGGTTGGTCCCATCACCCAGCCCTAGTTATACCACTGCTGGCCAGAATCTAATTGGGTTGACCAGGCAAAGTAGGCACAGTTAGATGTGGCCATCAGACTGCAGCAGGTTTTGAATCACAGGGAGAGCTTGGGGGGGCTGAGCCCCCCTTAAGAGACAAGAGCCCCCTCCAGCCCGCCCTGTGCCTTGAGTGGTGACTTCTTCCAGCTGCCACTGCCATAGACACCCGCTAGAGTCAGAATGTAATTTGAACCCTGGACTGCAGATGGGTGTGGGTTTGTTTTGGCAAAAAAAGTGGTGATGGAATAGTGTTTCAGAGTTCAATCTTGCCTTGAATCGGCAAAGCATTTAAGGCATGTGATGAACTTTGAAGTACAGCTTGCATAAAGTAGCCTGAAAGAACCAAAGGCTCTAGTCTTGTATTTGGTAGCATATATATGACAAACTACCTCAAAGGAGCTTCATACTGCACCAGATACCTTAAAAACATAAAAAAGTGCAAACATTTGATCGCATGTTCATTGAAAATCCATTGCAGAGATGCACTAGATTAATCCCAGTGTGAAGAATGGCGTAATATAGCCTATAGAAACAAAGTGATGGTCTCATACTAACCCAGTCTTACAGGTAGGCCAACTGTAGGTGACTACTATCATGAACAATACTTGTGTCAGCGCAGTTACAAAGTGGTGAATTAGGTGATGGGATGTAACTCCCTCATTTTGCCCACAAGCTTGGTGAACCAAGGGATTAATTAAAGAAGGAATGAGTAGCTTTAAATGACAGAAAAGGAAAACAAAAGGACCTACCTTTGTTCTCTTAGTGCTAAGAGCAGGGGATTACTAAACATGAATATCTGTATCAAAATGTAGCTTTAAAAGCTAAAACCCAAGAGAGGGTATCTCACCCCCAGCCATGAAGAAAATGGAGGTTGATTGACAACACAGGTTATAGTCATTAAGAAGCCAAGAAGGCTGGCTACCATAGTGCAGCCACTCATAATCCAGAACCATATGTGCTTGTCTTGAGACTAATT